AGAAATCAGGCAGGTTACTTCGCAAGCTTTGTCGAAAGCCTCCCAGTCAGCCTCGACGAGGTCTTCACCTCCAGATCAATCAAGCCGCGAAAGGATGAAGGCAGCAAAACCTGAGCCTGTGTCCTTCTCTGGGTCGAGGAAACTGACAAAGTCCGAGGGTGTCTGCAAGGCTCAAAGGTTGAGAGTCTCAGGGATGAAGTTGCACAACTTGTGCCCGGTGTGTTAAACTTCTTACCATCGCCTGCGCCAGGAAAATCATCGGCTGTCTGCCTTTCCCATCTGGTGGGATGATGTGGTACCTAAGCGCACGCACATCCAAGATAAAAGCACCAAGTGCAAACACTGCCGACTAAAACGGGCACAATGGCCAAATGCAAATGATCTGGAGCATCCAAGCAGGAACGTCATCAGGCGTTCCGGATGACATTCTAGGGGCGTATGAGGTCCATCTGCTGCCAAAGGCCCCCATCTGGTTCCAAGAAAAGGTATGGTGTCAGGTGAATCGTGTGATCGGCGCGCGGCAAGGTTAAGCGGTCAAGGCAATCTGGACCTGAGTCACAAGATCATCGTGGAGCATGACCGGTCGAGGTGTAGGTCCAGAGGTAGGTCAGCGTAGCCGAAATAGATCACATCCTTGAGATCATCGACCGTATAATCTTTGGTGTCAATGGTGTGGTTTGGAACCCTAGCGTTGACGCTGACATTGAGAGGTTGGTGGCCGAGCAGGCTGCATCAAAGTCAAGCCGTAGAAACATCCATCACGGGCACCAACAAGTGTGAACAGCCAAGAGCAGACAATATCGATTTGTGGCACACGGGTCACAGGCAAAGGCAACATGGGCACTAGCACGCCAAAGGAAGAAACAAGAAAGCAAAGGCGGTTTGAACCCAATTGAAAGGGAAATGGCTGCGGACCGAGGGGCAGCGACTGGGCGTCGTCATGCATTAAAGATGCAAGGAAGGGATTGCAGGGGACAAGCCAGAAAGAAAGGGAGAGAGAGAGAGAGAGTGTGGAAATAGAAGTATGAGGTTGATTGAGATTGTAGCAGGCCCTTTTTCAGGTCACAGCCACGGTGGACAGTATGTTCAGAGAAATGGATCTGGTAGGACAGGCGCTCAAAAGTACACAGCCGTATCCTCAGGAATGTCCGGGTCATAGAGACAGGTGAATGCCGCCGCCGTGGGCTGATAGGAAGGCATTTGGCTGCCATGCCACTCTCTAAAGGGGGGTGTATATTGTTCGGATTGCCCAAAGCCACTTGGAACGGTAAGCTCGCAACATTGCTGACAATGGAATCCCCGTGTTGGGAACCAGCGCTGCCTCATCGGGGGGGTGACGATGAAGAGTTCCAAGGTGTGACAGGGATGAAGAAGCTCACGATGAAGGAGTGTCTGTGGCAGCCAGGAAGACCTTTGACATGAGTCTGGCCTGTGGCAGAGTGGGCAAGGAGACAGAGAACTAAGGCTCAAACTAGGGCCCAGCCGAGTTCATGTGAACTCAAAATCAACTCTGCGACCGTTTGCCGTGCGCAGCGCCGACCTTCTGTCCGCCGTGGACACCTTCTGGCATAGAAGCCGCTCCAGCCAATGCCAAGTCGCCAGAGTCTTACTGTAGTCATAATCTACCTTGGATGGCTGTCCGCTACGGACTCCTGCTGTTGCTTACACGCGACCACGTCACCCCCAACTCGGGGCCCACGCCACGAGGGCACTCCTTCGGGCTCACTCCGGGCTCTCAAGAAGAAAGGTGCTCTCAATACAGGGCACGTACGGTCTGAGTGCCACTTGCCCCAGCGCCTAGGTGAAAAAAGTTCCTCGGCAAAACGAGTCCAACCAGGAGGCCTCAAAGGCCCCCAAACTGGCACTTTTTAGTTCTTTAGCATCAAAGCAGGTACGTCATCATGCGTCCCTGATGAAACTTCTAGGTGCGTATGATGAGCTTCGTTGGAGCCTCAAACGTCCTCTCCGTCCCCCTGCTAAAACGGTACAAAACAGAGACTCCGTCCACCAAGCCAAAAGGCCCCCCTCTGATTCCAAGGGTTACACAAACATGCACAAAGCCACTCAGGAAAAAGAAACACAGACTTCAAGCACTCAAAGCCACTGAAGCTGTCACTTTGCTAAGCTGGCAAAGTTGCATAAAGACCCAAAGTCAACTCAGTCTGCTGAACCCCACTGTTTGCAACCAAGGGACATGTCAGGACTCTTTCTTGCACACATTGTCAACACCAAGCTTGCTTGAAGGTCCTCATGGTTCTTCGGCAAATGCTCGGCAAAGGACACCTGCACCTGCAAGAACCCTCAACCAATCAACAAGCACTGATCATACCTGTCAAGGCGCATTAACATCTCGAGCTTTTTTGATGGCGCGCCTCCGAAAGTGTTGGGCAGATTCGGTTGAAGTAGGAGCCTTGCTACCAAGAATCGCATCAATCCCGCTTCAACCCCACACATGCGACAATACAGGGGATTAAAGATCCGGATGTTAAGGGTGAGAAGATAGTAGGATAACGACAAAATCATGCACATGACCGGCATGACACAAACCCCCTGCTGCCAGAATGCTGGCAATTGTGCTTCGAATCTCTTGATGAAAGAGATCCCACAACTCCTCTAACATGGCAGGTCAAGTCATCCTTTGAGCAAATCATGTCATTCATCAAGTCCTGGTCTTCACTCATCTTAGGCGGTAGGCGCTTGGTCTTTTCAGCCTCCAAAAAGGTGTTGACTTCAGTCCTCGGAGCTGGGGAATACGTTGGCATATACTCTTCTTGGAAGAACTGCCGAGATACTCTGTGGGAATGTCGGTCGCACTTATCTTCAAGCCAACCCGCTCCAAGGTTAATGTCAAGTACTCACCTCGGATTCTTATACCTTGAAGTCCAACAGACAAAGCGTCACAAACACAGCTAAACGCAGCTGAGCAGCATTTTGGTTCAGAAACCTTTTCCTGAGAAGAGCGCCACATTAAAAGCACTGCGGTGCCAAAACCCGTAGTAATGTAAGCAAAGCGCTTCAATTGCAATTCCAAACAAACTGCGACTTCTGTGCTGCTGACCAACAATCCACCATTTGCGTGGCTCATGGGCACCTGTGATACAGCTCCATCTGGCACGCTACATGGCATTGTACCATTGAAATGGTGAGATACAGCATGTGACTGAGCTGGAGTCAAAGTCAGCTGCTTCAGCAGATAGTTGTGTGTTAAGACGCTCGGCATCCTTACTACAAACGTGCAAAATGCTAGCCCAAAACTATCAGATTCTCAGCATGCGACTGTCTCCTCGGGCCTGGAACGATGAGATCCGAGTCTCTCAAATGCTTTGAGAGATGCATTTTTTAAAGAAGGGTCCTGAAGTCTTCATCATCATCATCATCACCATCATCATCGAGCTCATCGCCTGCCAAAAATGAGGCCTCGGACGACAAGTTGCACAAATGACAGCCTGGCAGCTTGGATGCAAATTTTACCAGGGACTACATGAAGTGTTGCACTTCATTTGCATCTCAGCCAGGTGCCACAGCCGTGGCCATTTTATCAGCCAAAGCCTCATCAGCTTCCTGCAACGAAGGGCTCAAATTTCAAAGGCGATGTCTTTTCGACAATGTCCACAAGACAGAGGCCATGTTTCTTCCGGGTAGCGTGAAGACAAAGAAGCCCCAAAACCCAAGAGGCTGCTTGATCTACACTGCACTCTTACTTTGAAGATCTTGATGTCGTCATCGTGCGTGCAAAGTTTCACCCCGGCAAAACACGTTGTGGTGTCCCGTCCTTGGCCTTGCTGGCCAAGATCTCTTGCTCTTGACTATCACGTTTTGTTGGTTGAGCATCTTGCTGCAAGTGCTTCAGGAGGTTCAAAGCAACTGCATCTGGAGCATCCTGGAAAACTGGACTTGTCCAAAGCGTTTTGATCGACCATGGTCTTCCGTCACACCACACTTTTGTCAGCGGGACTGCAACAACTTTAGGACTGCCCGGAAGCGACGCCTGCAGCTGCCCAGATGCACTAAACTTGTCTTGGCCTTCAAGCTGACCCAGCTCCTCAGCAAAGCACTAGTAACAAGGGCATCGCTACCAGCAACAAGGGCATTACTGCTAGTAGCTAGAAGCTACTAGTAGCAGGAGCAGCGCTAGCAGTAACAAGTGCATCGCTACTAGTAGCTAGAAGCAACTAGGCTTGAACTTCTTCAACTTCTCAAATGTGGACGGCCCTGACCTTCTCGAAGGCTCCGCCCGGCATAGCCACTGCTCCTGGAGGCCACTGAACTGGCCATTGCTGATTGCGATACCACTCAGGGTGTGCCTTGGAGAAGGTCAATTCAAATCAAAGTGTTTTGCCAACCCTACCGCATTTCAAACGACTAACTCAGACAAGGGCCTGCCACATGTAAGCTTCCATGTTTGGATCCCAGGCTTTACCAACGTCCCACCATTGGTTCAAATCTTGCTGTTGAAAACCTGCCAGGGGGCACACCAACTGCTTTTGTACACGTCAATATCCGGACTTTCGAGTAAAGTATGACAATAATCACCGTCATCGGCGTCATCCTCATCAGTGCTACGTCAGCCACACAATTGGCAGAACATGTATGTAATCCAAGCAATTCAAGTCTACCCAATGCCAGTTATACAATGATTGAAATATTCAGAGCTCTTTCAGTTGAGCTGTTTGTCCTGTCTCTCATGCAAACACCTGCCGCAAGTGCGCTCTGGTCCGTCCATGCGCTAGCCATTGCTTTGGCCCCCAAGCCCCGATTGTTTGGAAAGGGAGTGAGAAAATGTCGTGACAAATCCTGCTTGAAAGACTGGGTTCTCAGTTTACAGTTTACAATGCACCAGAGCATTGATGCAAGGCTTGAAGCTCTGGATGCTGCAACGTGCCAATGTGGGTTGCTCCAACGAGGGAAATAGAAAGCACACAATATGCAAAGGGCACCATGCGGAGAGCTTGCATGGACAGCTTTGAACCTACGCTCCCCAAAGCACTCGGGACTCTTGCAAGAGCTCCTTGGGATCCCAGAAGTCCGTGGACTCTCCAGCTGCCGTGCCCTAGGCCAACTGAATTCAGATTGATGCCATTTCTGGGAGGTACATGTGCAGCGTGTGTATCACTGCACGCTGTACTGCATCTGTATATGTTTGCATGTATATTTCATGTATTCTTTTCCAGGCCCGCCAGCGCCCTGAGTAACCTGACTTCTTTGGGCATGAACTTCCTCACAACCAAGTTCCCAAAGTGACGGAGGAGCTCCGGCACCTCGGGGAACATCTGTGGAACGGTGGAGCAGTTGAGGCCAAAGCCCCGAGAGGGCAGGTGAGGCACTCCACCAATGTGATCAAAATGCCAGTGCGTGATGACCTCACCCAGGCACTTGGAACAGGGTCAACTGCACATTGTTGCAAGAGAAATTCTTGAATGTGAAGCTGTTGTCAGCGCACGTCCTTGGGATCATATGCCAAGGTCCCTAAGGTCCCGACCACTTGTGACAAACGCTTGCACCCCTGCTCCTCCATGGTCTGAAGTAGATCCTTCAGAAGTGTGCGGAGTTGATAGTAATAGAAAGGCTTGTCCCACTTCCAGCGAGACCCACCTGCAAGACTCCGGGCTTCCCTTCACCTACATCCACCAGAATTCGTGCTTCTCCTGTTCCGACCTAATACGGCCAAGGTAGGAAATCTCAGGCACATAGCACGGGGAGTCACAAGAACGGATGCCCTGCCAAAGTACACATACTAAAGCAGCCTAGGATCCTGGCAAGGTACAAGTTGGTGCCCGTCAATGCGAAGGGGCTAGGTCAGAGTTGGGCAAAAAACGGCAGTGCGACTGTACATACCTGGGCATACCTACAGTACATAGCCTATATATACCTGAGAAGGGAGGGGACGAAAGCCTACCTTTGCGTCAAAGGGGGTGCCCTTAGGGCTAGCCTGTCGCTCCCAGGCATGGCTGCCTCTTTTCGTCTTGGGCCAGGGGCGTGTTGGAGGGTAGAGTGGAGCAAAAGTAGCTGGAAGTTGTGAAGTTGATATTGCGGCCACTGGGCGCGCGAGATGGAGTGATTGGCTACCATCGGGCAAAGCATACGTTTAGGTGGCGAAGTTGACATCGGAGCCACTCCGATAGGAGGCAGAAACAGAAAGTGTAATAGACAGGTTTGGGGGGTGCCCTTTTTCGTCATGGTTTAGGGTCGTTTTGGAGATGAAAAAGGGCACCCCGAAGGAAGTGAGGGGTGGTAGCTTGCTGTGTGGTGCCAATCAGTGAGCAAATATGGTTATTGGGGGGTCGAGGGGCGGCAGGCTTTCGGGAGGAGACATGTATGTATATAGGGAGAGTGGAGAAAGAGTAGCCGGAAGTGGTGAAGTTGATATTGCAGCCCCTTGAGCGTGCAAGATGATGTGATTGGTGAACACCGGGCAAAGCGTACCTTTATGTCTTTATGTAGTGAAGTTGATATTTGCAGCCACTTGCATAGGAGTAGAAAGAGAAAGTAGAATAAATAGGTTGGGGGGGGTGCCCTTTTCGTGTTGGTGGAGGGCTGCTTCGGAGGTGAAACGGCGCCCCCAAGGAAGTGAGGGGCGGCTGCCTGCGTGTTGGCAATCAGTGGGCAAAGAGGGGGGGGAGCCCGTGGGCGAGGCTAGCGGCAGGCTTTCGTGAGGATACTTATGTGTATACAGGGAGGGTGGACAAGGAGTAGCCGGAAGTGGTGAGGCTTGGCAGGGGGCGCACTTTCGTCTTGATGTAGAGGTTGTGTTGCGCATCATGCACCCCATATGGGGTGCCCTTTTCAGTCCAGCAACTAGACCTCGCCACGGATAAAAAGGGCACCCCAATCAACTCAAAACCTTCCGCCTCCAACGCTTGCCCGCTGCAATCTGTTCCCTCAACAACCCCCAAGCAAGTCAAAACCTTCCGGCACCGCTGTGCCTGCCTCGTCCACGTGAACTCCCACCGCATAGGGGGTGCCCTCTTCAGTCTGGCAACTAAAAAAGGGCGCCCCCAAGCAACGCTAAGCTTGCCCGCAACTGCAATCTGCAATCTGTTCTCTTTCCTGCTCTCAAGTATGGGGTGAGTTCCAACCACTTTTCACGTCCCCTTGTCTTCCCGTTCCTCTCATCGACGTCATCTCCCACCCCTAGTAAGTAAAGACAGTTTACATGGCCTCCTGAGCCCCTCGTGACGCTAATGATGCACAGCTCGCCGTCAATTACATCACTTTACTCACTTCATTCGCGCAAGAACCTCAAGCCTTGCCTATCGGCTGGTTTTCGTGACGTATATATATATATATACATATACAATAGTGTACACATGTATAAATGTCAAATCCAAGCTTGATGTGCACTTCGACCAAACCGTTTCCCAAAAGTTACACTGTGGTGATGCTCACCCTTGAGGCCAACTTGGCACGGCAAACTCAGAGTGCACTCAGAGAGATCTGATCTGCTGGGCCTCGTGCCTGGGGTTCCGGCCAAGCACTCGGGTCACTCGCTCAGACATTTGGGCGACCTTCGGACCAACAAGGCATGCACATATAAATGAAGAGAGGCCATATTAAAGGAGCCCTTATATACCATCCTGTTTCTTCTCTTCTTTCTCTATCTACTTTTTTCTTTTTGCCTGCGCAAGCCTTCGGCAGCTCAGGAGGTGCATGAGCTGCGCAGGCTTGTGGCTTGACCACAGCTTGGCCAGGCCTTGCTGGTAGCAGGTGCCAAGGCCATACACATACGATAACCTCAATTTTATTAAATATATATTGTATACTGCTCTAGTCAGTTGAAGCTTGCTCTAGAAAGACACTGCCGTACTTCCAACGTAGAACTGATGACTGTTGCATCCAAAGCATGACTTGCCCCTTGGCAACGCAAAGACCCTTTCCACGACCTTGAAGGAGCGGTTGACAAACAGGCAGGCTGGAATACAAGCGTGTCGGCCACAATGCTGGCAAGACACAACTGGCATTGGCAGGCCTCGGTCTTGCAGCCTTTTAATCACACTCACTCACTCACTCACTCACTCACCCACCCACCCTCCCACGCTCGCTCTCTCACTCACTCACTCACTCACTTACTCGAACAGAATCCTTGGGCTCGGCTAAGAGCACCGCTCGGTGTCCAAAATTCAACCGCATCAAGAGAAGGCCGACATCAAGAACAAAGCTGGACTGCAGCGTCAAGGGATTCACTCTCAACGGCTGGTGTTCCTATGGCAAAGCCCACTGAGAAGCAGCCCGTCTGATATTAAACACCACTGACTCTGACGCACTTGAGTACATCGGCGGCGTGCGTTCCTTCTGGCACATGACAATCACCACCGCCTTCAGAACAACAACCTGTTCCGAAAAAACACACCTGATCACACCTGCTTTTTACAAACGCATGACTGGCAAATGCCTTCTGGATCTGTACACGCAAACGCATTGCCCTGGCACTAGATCCGCAAGGATGTGCACCTTCTTCTGCTGCTACTGCTTCATTTTCAGGAGGTTGTACAATACACCGCCTGAGCTCCGCATTGCTACCATTCCTGCTGGCATAACCTTTTTTGTTTTGGCAAATCTGATGCTCATCATGAGTGTAAGGATTGCCTTAGGCGGCCAGAGGTGCATCCGGTCTGACTATGCAATTGAGCACTTGAAAACATCCGCACCTGACAACTGCTTGGAGGAAAGCAGTGCAAAAAAACGACACCTGCGTGCCAAGTCACAGATATAGCCGCGGCTGCCTTGAAACGGGCTGTCTGCCCGCACGCTATCAGGGCAAGGCCACTGAGACCACCAGCCACCAGGGATGGAACACTGCCTTTGGACGCGAAGCCAGCAATCCCACCAGCAGTTACCTTGATGGTATGTGGCAAGATGCGTCTCAAAGCTAAGTTTTCAGCTGGGACACTGATTGCTACTGACCCTGCTGCCAAGGGGCAGCAGCTCCGAGCAAGGTATTTACATCCATTGCTTCCAACTTAGCTTGAGGCTGCCAAAGTTGCGTAGCCAAACGTGCTGCGGACAATGCTCATATGGACCATATGGATCAACACGAGCTTCAACCAGAGTGCAATGAGAAACAAGCAGCCTTCGTGAAAGTCCGAGGAGCTGGGCATTGTGCAAACATGGTTGGGTTTGTAGCTCTGGGGAAAATGAAGGGGAAAGCCCTGGTCAAAAAACAAGTGGCATGCAAAAGTGCGTGTGTGTGTGTGTGTGTGTGTGCGGGTGTGTGTGTGTGTGTGTGTGCAACTAACTTGCACGCAGTCAGCTGGGGATGCAACTGACACTACATTCGATTCGAGCTCGCTTGCACAGGGGCAAAGGGGCAATCAGCTAAACTTTAAGACTTTGCCGCAGAAAGCAGCCGCACCAGGCAAAGAAAGACCTGAAGCACTGCCTAGCATTATCAACTACCAAAGGCAGTTGAGTCAGAAGCGATTGAATTGATTTCCTGGCTGGTCTTGTACATCTTCGCGCAACTCCTCTCCCAGGAAGACACTCAGTTGGAGTGCCGCGATCCCGCACAGCATCCATGGATCGAGTCTTCCGGCAGAAGTATGTATCTGGAGGAAACATGACACAACACACAGGAATGCTGCAAACGGCAGTCACGGCAAAAAATCACGGAATTTCTATCACAGCCCCTCCCCAACGTCAACGAAAGCGGCGTGCTGAGCGAGCAGTGGACGTTCAACCTCAGCAACCCCCACCTCTACGCATGCGGGCTGATGTTAGTAGGCAGTTTGAAGGCGACATGTCACGGTAAAGCTGGAGGGCAAAACTGACAAAAGCAACGCAGTCGCGCTCTCACTTTTTAAACCTCTGGCTCTCGAGGCTCTCTTTAATGATCTCGAAAGTAATCAAAGTGGCCGGTTCAACAAAGGCCGGTTCCCGGCCTCACTGCTTGGTCCAAATCGTTACGGCCACACTTCTTTGCACCCATACGGCATTTGGAATTTCTTTGGGTGTCTTCAACGAAAAGGCACTGATGAGTACGCTCCTGCTGGTGTTGAGATACACCGGGACCCGCAAGTAGTCTGCCGTCTGCTTGACCTCTGGCAAGTCCACGTGAACCCACCGGATCCAAAGGAGAGGCAGGGCAACAGAGAGCTCGTCAGTCACTACCAACTGTCCTTTGTCCCACGCAGCGCCCTCTAGCTGCAAGCCTGTCATTTCAAAAGCATCATCGCCTGAAGGAGCATCCCCGCCAATCTGCACAATCAAGTTCAACTCCTCCAATGAAACTTGCTTTTGCTGGGCCACAGCTTGTCGCGAAGCCGTGAGGAAAGCTTCTGGGAAGAAAAGCCCGCCGTACCAAAGCCTGTGCTTCTGCAACGAGCCGCTGGAGACCACTGTGCGGAGCTGATCTAACCTCTTGACAAAGTCTGCCAAATACTCAGTGGCAGTCACTTTTGCCATGGCAAACCGCTGCCATGCTTTGGGAACTTGATCAGTCGTCAAGTCTTGAATCAGCTGTCGCACCTCATTTGTACTCTTGGCAGTTCCATCGCAGGCTGCCGACAAGAGAGACAAATCTTGGCGAACCTTCTTCAGCAGGGACCGGCCAAAGCCGGCCTCTCTGTCATAGCAACGCCAAAGAGGATCTCGAAGCGAGGCTTCAGAGCGTGGCAGCTGCTCCAAAGATTCTGGCAAGTTCTCGAGCATCTGCTTCACCTTCGTCCCCAGATCAAACAAGGGGTTGATCAAAGCACTGGCTCTTCTCTTTTCTCCTTCCTTCTTCTTTTCTCCTTTCAGTGCCCCGGTGTTCCCCTGGAGAAGAAGCCAGCGTTGTAGCGTGTGGTTGGCACGGTTGATTCGTAGCATTTGTTCGGCATGAACCGGCAAGCCAACCCATGTAGGACTACCCTTTGCAGGCAAGTTGTCAATCCACTCTAGGAACTGTTCCCGCTTGCGCCCGTCTGGTGAGCGCAAGCAATGCTCTGATGAGGATTCCATGTTCAGGGCAAAATCCCTTTCAAATGACTCTGCTCTAAACAAGTGATTGATAAATGTCTTGAGGACCGCGTGGTCAAACTCATTGTCGACCCGTCCTCCATAAATGGACTCACTGAGAATTGAACGAAGAGCATCCCACGGAATCTTGTCGGGGCTGATGTTGGACAGTTGCCCATGATTGGAAACACTGTCTACCCACGCATCAACTACATCTCGGCTGCACATTTTATCTGCATCGCCAAACTCGTACTTCTTGCTCCAGCCTACTGGGAAGAATCGTAGCCGCTCTAGGACTATCGCGTGAAGGAATGCAAGCAAGAAGTGAAGTCTGCAGCGTTCGACCGGTTGACGGTCCGTCCTTTCTGGTGGCAAGACTTGCGCAAACGATCTCCGCAAGGATGCCCGAAGTCCAGATGGAGGCTCAAAGACATAGACCCTGGACAAGCGAATCAGGTTCGGAGGGATTCGGGGGTTGAATTCCATCGTGAGGAAGAGCCGGAAGTTTTGCTGTGGATTCATTCCATAAAGATTCTTTTCGAGCTCTGACAGCCAGCTGATGGCCAAATGCACATTCTTCAGCAACACCCACGTACCCGCATTGGATGCTGCCTTGATGGCCTTGTCTGCTACATTGAAGCCTTCTTCAGAACCCATGGCCGCAGATTGCAACGACTTCTTTTGCACCTGCGCCAGCTCTGTGACCTTCCCACTTGGATCAAAGCCAGGAACAGAGACCATCATGATCGGCGAAGAAGCCCTGCTGTCCTTAGCAATGATCTCCGCCAAATTGAACGCAGGCAAGTCCAAAAAGCCTTTGCCAAGCACACTTTCAACCAACGCAGTGCAAATAAAGGTGAGGCGATCTGGACGCAAGGCCTTCAAAATCAAAGTCTTCTGGAGAAGTGACGGCCCGTCGTCACTGGTTTTTTCCCAACCTGTCGGAATAGCCATTTCAGCTTCTAAGTGCTCCATGAATCTGAGCCACTCCGATTCTTTGGCCTGGATGTTGCCAACTAGGCCACTGAAGCATGGGAGTAGGTGCAGGTCCTGCAGCCCTTTCAGCTGCTGGCTGTTCAACTTGGACTTGAGCACCTCGCAGCACTGCTCTGCTAGTGGTGCAGCACTGCTCTTCGTCACATCCACTGCAGCTCCCTTGAGCAAAAGATCTAGCTCTGCCTTCGGGAAAGGTGAAGATCCTTGGCTTTCGGCCCTGACTTGGGCTAGCTGCAGTCCAAAAACCAGCACATCAGCCTCTTGAAGGCCGGGTCCCACGCGCAAGAACAAGTTGCCAAAGAGTTTCTCGAGAATTGCCTCCAAGCGTTTCTCATAGCTTAAGTCCTTTTGGAGCTCCGTCCTGATGGATCCATCAAAGACCTCCAAAAAGAAAGCCAAACTGTAGCGGTAAAGCGTGTGCATCGCGCCCATCCTCTGCAACATGAAGTACAGATTTGCAGCCACCTCGCCGGCCGTGTCATAGAGTGCACTGGTCTCATTGATTTCCTGCATGATGGCATCAGTTTGACCGAGCTTTTCTTGAATCTCTGAGGACTCCTTCTTGATCTTCTCCAAGGTGGCTATTACCTTGACATCCTCCAAGATAGACCCCTCCACATTTGAGAGAGCATGAAGAAGTTGCTCCTCAAGTTCCCTCATCTTCACTTTGCATTCACCTTGCAATTTCAATTGATCTTCACGCTTCCGATCCACATCAGGCCTTTCAGATTTCAGTAGGGCATTCATGCACTGGCTTTGCAGCGAGGAGGGCGTCACCGTGAAGTTCACAAAGGTCACCCGGCTGCACAGATCTGGGGTGAACTGAGCAGTTGAGTCCCTGGTGCACATGTACATCTCAAAGGCTGGGCTGAAATCAATGTCCTGGTCGCCCAAAGTGATCAATACACGTGGGCCACTTTTGTGTGTCTCTCTGTTGAGCACATTGTTGAGGATGGGATCCACTTTGTCCACATCCATAACAATCAAGGGTGCTCCGAACCGCAGTGCTGTTTCTAGGCTCTTCATGAAGCTATTCTTCACAAAGGATGTCTTGAGAAGCTTCTTCTCTTTGAATTCATTGGTCAAGAAGGCGATGGCCTGCCCGGACGGATCGATGATCAAAGGATACCGTAAGAAGCGCCTCATGATAATGGCATTCTCATAGCACAAGTCATCGTCTGGAAGCGCATTTTGCTTCCATTGCAGTCTTTCGGATGGTTTTGACAAGTACTCGATGATGGAAAGGTCTTCCTTCTGTTTGATCTCTGCTTCGTCAAGCTTCTCGCGCCACAGAGCTGTGACCCTTTGGCGCATGAAAAGATCAAAGAAGCCGATATACGTGCAAAAGGCTCCACAGATTAGCACATCTCCAATCATGCTTGCTGTCTGCTCCTGGAAGCCCTTTGACGATCCTTGCCATCGCACTTTCTCAGAAGACAGGTCAGATAGTAGTTGAGTGGAGCGGCTGCAGTTTTCTTGCACTTGCTGCATTTGATGCTTAATCTGGTTGACAGAAGTGATCAACTGAGCATATTGCTCTTTGTACTGCTGGATCTTGGCCTCCATGTCTCCCAAGACTTTCTCGCATGCTACAAGTTCAACTTTGTTCTTGTCGGCCTGCTCCTGCATCTGCTGCAGCTCATTCCTCATGGGCTCCATCATGTTCAAAAGATCTGCGAATTGAATCTGGCTTTCCACCCACTGAGCTACTGGACCAGCACATTTCGATGCTTGCTTGATTCTGGAGACATCCCATGCCTTGTTCTCAAGGTACTGTTTCTTCAAGGTCTTGCGAGTGCTGTCTTTCAAGTGTTCCGCTTCATACTCTAGAATGCTCGGGATGAAATTGGCATCACGCATGACCTTTCGGACAGCTTCCCAGTTGATACTGGCTGGAGGGATCTCTGACCGAACCATGAGAACAACAGCTTCCATTGCCATTTTCACATGTTCAGGAGGCTTGTTCATAGAGCGGAGCTCATCCAACGCCTGCTTGTTGACGGCTCCTACTGCGCTCTTTGCAGCCTCCAACGCTGGCTCCACTTCTTCGATTTTCTTCTGAATAACCCCTCTTCTTTCATCAATGACCTTGGATTGCTCCGCAAGCTCGCCCTGAAGCTTTTGGCTTGCTTGCTTCCTCTCCTCTGCCTCTCCCTGCCCCTTCACCATCTGTGACATCATTTCTTCTGCCTCTTTGTTCTTGGCAACGAGCATTTTCTCTTTCTCCGCCAAACCAGATTGCAAGTTTGCCACTTGATCTTCAGTCTCCTTAAGCTTTTTGAGCCCTCCATCGATGTGGGATTGCTGATCTAGCACTTCATCTCTTTTCTCCTTCATCAAGCCAATAAAGTGATTGATGAAATCGAGGAAATCTCGTGGAGTGATGAAGTTGTATCTCAGGGCGCTCTTTTTCAGATCCACGTTTGTTTGATCAACTTGCTGGTGAAATGACACGATGGTTTCAGAGAGCTTCTCATGGCGTAACGCATCCTTCTCTTCTCCTGGCCCAGCAGAAGCACCAGTGAATGTGTCCTCACCGATCAGCATACTGGCAGTAAAGTCAGCTGCGACTTGCAGCAGGGCCTCTTGTGGCCAGTCACCAAACCAGTCAATGACACAGCGGTTGAAGAGAGCAGGGCTGGAGTTGGAGCGATTGTAGAAGTCTGGGTTTGCAGGATTCATGGTGAAGACAATGTGCAAATTTCTTTGGACTCGCTTCGTAAAGCGTGCAAATATCTCTGCATCATCCACCCCTGTGATGTTGGCTCCGCGGCATTCATGAATCAGAGCAGTATACTCATCACCTTCAAAGAGTCCAGGCACCTCTCCAGAGGCCAACAGTGCATTCATCCTCTCGATAAAAGCTGGGCCCAAGGCATTGGACTCATCGAAAATGAAGGTGATCTTTTCGCCTTTCACACCGGCACGCTTCATCACTATGCGAACATCTGCTTCAAATGCAAGAACATCATAGTTGCGGCCGATCTTTAGCGTGTAGACACTCAGTCCATTCAGCCACGAGACAAACTTCGAGAGAACTGTCTTGCCTGCGCCAGAGGCTCCAACCAGCAAGAGGTGTCCCAAAGGCTGCCGGAGAACCCGATCCATGCGAACAATGTGATCCAACACCGAATCGAAGATCACTAGTCTCACATCCAGCTCCTCTTCATAGAAGACACTCAGCTTTCCTTTCACGAACTCGCGCAGAGCTTCTCTCGTTTCATCTCGGTAGTGGTGTTGCTCATCCAAGTAGCAGCTGAAGAGAATCGGTCGTTGCAGCACATCCGCACTGCATCCGAACTCTCTCTGCACGACTTCATCCAAGAGCTCTTCACTCCACTGACGCTCCTCCTCAAAGACCAAGCGATCAACAAAGATTCGCAACCCTTCATGGACAAGAAGGCGTATCAAGTTCGACTGAGTCATGCCATCCCATCCCCTCACACATTCATAGAGAGCAGTTTTCCAGCGTGTCAACTCACGGGGGGAGTATAAGTAATGAGGCTGCTGATCTGAGGTAAACTTCTGAGAACTTTCACGCCAGAACTGAACCATGGTATTGGTCATGGCGTCTCCACAACTCCTATCAAGTTGAGGTTGCAAACGGAGGATGGCACGGTTGAAGGTTCCATAAATCTGGCGCAACGAATCCGGGCCAGGATAGTCTACCCAAATGACTGGAGCATGTCGCAAGAAGCGGTCTGACATTGGATGTCGGCCCGGGTCAGTCGGTGGGTTGCATGCCCCGAGGAATTGCACTCGCTCCACCGAAACCCACTGCTTGTCACTTGGGCGGTAAAATCCACCATGCTCGGTGATCTGTCGAATGAACATGATCACCTTCTGCGTGCCATACTTGTCTTCAGCTGGCAGGTTGCACTCATCACAAAAGACTACGACCCAACGATTCAACTGCAGTGGCCGCATCACCAGGCCATTTGGTGTCTTCACTGTCTCACAGTAGAGGTCGAAGGTCTTCAGGAGAAGGTCTGGTGAAGTGCCAGCAGAAAAGTTCAAGGAAGCCAACTCGAGACTTCCATCTTGTGACATTGATTTCATGGTAGACATCAAAGTCATAGTCTTTCCACTGCCAGGCGGTCCGCTGAGAATGAAGGGTTTTCTTTCCTCGAGCCATGACGACAAAGCCGACACGTGTCTAACGGTATCCACTGTCGAAATGATCAAGTTGGAGTCAGCCACTTTCTCAGGTTCTATCTCCAAGGTTGGAACTCGTTTGTCCCAATGATACCACTGTCCATCTTCAACACGCACCTCAAAATCAAGAAGGGTTGTGTCGCCTCCCAGCCCATCTGGGGCAGGTATGTCTCCCAAGTGTGCCGCTAGCATCTCACAGAACTTCATCCGGTTGCTCAAGAACATATCCCCACCAAATGACCAGCAAATTGCAAAGACAAGGTACTTTTGCATGAACGACCTGAGCACATCATCGTCCAAAGGAAACTCCTCATGAGCCTCATCATAATCCAAAACCACGTTGATACCCTTTCGAACCATTGAAAACAAGCCCGTCAGGGCCCGTATCATGGTGAAGGTCATGATGTGTTCCATCTCGTGGGCGAGCCTTAGGGCAGAGAGAACAACCCCACCACTCTGGAAGCACTGCTCAATTGCTTCGATGCACTTCTTCTTCGTTTTCTGCTCCTGTGATAAAGCAGCCTGTTCACCATCTCCACTGTTTCGCTCATTCTTCGACTCAAGGTTGCCATATTTGATGGATTGAAGCTCACGCCAGCAAACCATTTCCTCTGTAATCACATCATTAGCGAACCACACCATGCCACATCGACTTACAGTTGCCAAGGTGGCATATTTCAGCGTGTCCACCTCAAACATGATTCGAACATTCGGTGGAATGGCCAAGCGCTCTCCATTTGGAAGTGTGAGAATTTTGTTGTCATCCAGAACGGAGTTGAGATTCTCAGCCCACTCAGGATCGACATCACCATCAAACATGATCCACTGCCTGCGAAGGTTTTCACCCCTGTGGCCGGAGAGTATGCGTCGCAAAATGTCAGTGAAGACTCCATCTGTCCACTCGAGCGTGGTGGGGTCCAACTTGCCGTAGAGCTCTTCTTTCGACACTGCCTTCGGATCAACAACGTATGCATCTCCTTTGACATTGTCAAGCTTCTCCATTGCATCTAGCAACGTTCGCCAGACTGTTGACTTGCCCGTTCCCACCGTGCCCACCAGCATCACACCATGCGTGATCCGTTGGATCTGGTAGAGCTCCATGCATTTTAGCATAAAGTTCTCAGTGCACTCAAGGTGGCGTAGTTTGCACAAGCGTCGCAACTCGTCTTGCAAAATCTTGTTGTCCACAATTCCTACATCTGCGCCAGGGAAAACACCAGAGATCAGGCTCTGCATCAACGGCTTGTCCTGAGCAACCAGCTTTGGGACCAAGGTGTCGAAAATGGCTCTCAGTAGAATCTTCTGCTCATTCTCTGCAACTTCATCCTCCGAGAGTTCTGCGAACTTTTCAGCACCAATGTTTGTCACCTCCTCTCGCTTCATGGACCCAGCGCATGCCAGGACTGCTTTTAAGGATCTGAGGCCAAAGTCATAATGCGGTTGTGAGGACAACTGGTCTTTGCAGAGGTCAAAAAGGAAGACGACCTTACTCGCCAAGCGTTCTGCACTGATGAAACCCTGGTTGTACAAATTCACCTGTGCAATGAGCGTCTTATTCGGTGTCGTCATTGCCATGGCCCGGAAAAGCTGTTTCAAGTTATCAGGCAAGTTTGAGCGACCAGCATATCCAGGGTTCATGGTCACAAAGATTCCCACATTGGAATTCAAACGCACCTGCTTTCCCAGGATCTCAATCTCCTTTTTGTTTTGCTTGTTTCCAGTCTGGATTGTCAGCACTTGCTCTGACACAGCTGATAGAATACGCTCCTCCAGCCGATTGAACTCATCAAAGCAGCCCCAGGCACCAACTTGGCATAGACCAACGAAGATCCTACCCATGGCTTGAAAGTCGAAACCCTCATCACAGCAGAAGACCAAGACAAACCGCCCCATAGTATTGCCAAGTGCTTTGACTGATTCCGTTTTGCCAGTTCCCGCTGGGCCGAATGGGTTGGCCCCCAAGCGCATGTGAAGGGCTTGCGTTAGGGTCAAGAAGCATCTGTCAGTCAAAGGAGTCTGTACCAGCTTGTCTGCTATACCCAGGTACTCAAAGCCATAAAAGAAACTTGCATCAGCCATGCAAATTGACAAGCGCTGCAGAATTTGTGGTTCACTTGGGTTCCAATACATGCGCATCAGCTGGAGCCATTGAAAGTCCTTTGGTGAGCAAACCTTGTCTTGGATCAACTGCCGGGAAACATCTCGTTGGTGAACAACCTCAGTGATCATCTGCGCAAGCTTTTGACGCACAGCATTGCTCACATTGGTAATGACCTTCCCCGCCATGAAGGACAGCTGCTCGACAGTTCGGGGCAACACAAGCTGCATCTCAGCTAAGCCAGCACCAAGTGCAGTTTCAACCTTTAGGCACCAATCTGACAGAATCGCCATCAGAAGAACCTGGCAGGGATATCGAGAGACCCACATCATGGTCTGTTCTTCGCTAATTTTCCCATCAGCGGTGAACAAAGTTCCAAGTTCGTTCATGCAGGAGTTGAGATGTTCTCCAAGAGATGCCTGCATAGATGCCTCAGTCTTTGACAGCCAGCCATTAATCGACGGATCTTCATTGATGTTGACGACCTTGATGAAATCAACGGTCTCCCCCTCACGAGACTGCATTGCCTTCACAAGCTCTGGACTACTGGGATCCGTGCTCAACTGAGACAGGCCTGCAAACATTTTCGCAAGATGCCGACTCACGGCTGCGACGTCTTTTGAATTTCCAATCATCTCCAGCAAGTCTTCATCACCCACAAAGTAGAAGCGAGCAAACTGCGAACGTTGCTTTTCAAGATAGTCGCCCAAGGCCTTCTGGACAGCAGTCAGCATGTCAGACAAACGATCCAGTTGTTTTTGGACGCCTTCTATGGCGACAGCATCTAGCACCTTCGGTTTGGCAGCTACCTTCTTCATGAGACCCACGAACTCTGAATCAATCGTTTTGAATCGAGCAAACTCGTTGGGTAAAAGCTGCTGAATGTCAGCACTGCTCCCAAAAATGCCTTCCAAATAGACCCATCTTCTTTGCACATCCATCCAAAGGTCGAAGACAATGCGAATCTTGTTCAATCTGTCATCCCAGGTGGAGCCTTCATCTTCAAAGGACTTGAAATAGGGAGACATTTTCATGGATTGGATGCTCTGCAGGTGCTCATCCAACTGCGTGAAGAGATCATCCCACGACCGAATGAGGCGACACTTACTCTTGTAGGGCACCAATTCCAACTCATAGTTGCTCCACTTCTCTCGGACCTCAGCTAGGAATTGCTCCAAGCCCATTTCACCTTGAGCTCTGCCAAGAATCTCCTTGATGGCAGGCTGGTGTTTCTGCAAGTTTGCATCCCAAAGATGCCCAAGTGTGAGCTCGTTGAATTGGACGTTCAACTTCAGCATTTCAACAATTTGCTTCCAGTGACGTGCTTTCAGCGCATCAGTCTTCAATTCAGCCACAACCTGGTTGAGCTTGATCTGCCCTTGCAATTGCTCCTGGATATGATCAAAGGCCTCGTATTGTTGCAAACGCCGATCCATTTGCTTCATGTTGGACAAAAGGTCCTCCAAGGCGGTCTTGATTTTCTTGGGCTCAACAGCTGTCCAAAGAGTCTCCTTCAGCGCCTCTACACGGCTGTGGACCGTGTTGATTTGAACCCAAACATCTTTGAGGCTTCCCATCTCCTCCTGCAACGGTGCCAGTGTTTCTACATCACCAACCTCCATGTGTAAAGACTTCTTCAGCTGGACAAGCTGGCTGTGTTGCTCTTGGAGCAATTGAAGCCGCTCATCAAACTCTTTAATGACTTGCATTGCATTTGTTGGCTTCAGGCTTCCTTGCACCGGCTTCTGACTGGACCACTCAGAGTAGAGTTGGGTGATGTTTTCTTCAAGCTGCTTGTCTTTCTGCACCAGCACTGAGCGGAGCTTCGGCAGTTCATGCTCCAGGATCCGGTTTCTTCTGCTCAAGATCTGCTCAAAAGACTCCCACTCCCCTTCTATCTGCTCGATGTGCATCCAGTCTTCTGGAAACTGATACCTCTGCTTCACAAGGAGCTTTTGGGCTTTCTGAAGCTCTTCGAACTGGTTCTCCCACTTCTCAGCACTGGTCTTGACCTTGAGGACTGCCATACAAACCACCGTCAAATCACCACTGCTGTCTACAGCTTCCAAGCGTTCTCGGCCTTGGTTCACTTGGTGGAAGAACTCGTTCATGGTGTCACTTACCTTTCCACCAAATTCGTTCAGGAGTTCCCTGTGCCATTGGTCGTATTTGGCCTTGACTTTGGACTGGACCTTGCTATAGTCGACAACAACTGGTCCGAAGTACATGTCTTGGTCGGCTGCCTCGAAGCGAGTGCTAAAATAGTGTATCTCTGTTAGCATGCTGTACCATCGTGACAAATCATCACCCAACCGTGCCCGAACGTTGTTAGTGGTGATCTCCCATAGTGACTGATACTGCGTCCAGCCAGACACATACTCCTGCACTTCTGCACAGGTGCTACCAACTTGGTCATAGACTTCTTGAAGAATTTTCGGATCCACCTGTTCAATGAGCCTCCGTGATGCAGCCCGCGGAGCACGCTTGAGCGTATCGAAACGTGCTGCTTGCAGCACGGGCAGGTTGCACACCATTCCCAAACAATCATGATAATGTTTGATCCAGTGTGTCATAGCAAATTCCTTCTGAGGCTCCAAGACCAAGCGGATTCCTGACTGTGAAGTCTGCATGTGAAGCTCCAGCACGGCACCCATCACTGCATTTTCCTGGATCAATGTTGTGCCGTTGTTTGGCCACTTCTTGAACTCCTGCAGCCACTGTGCACTGATCGCCGCCAGAAGCTTCAAAAGACGCTGCTCGATTTGTTTGTTCAGCCCATCGACCCAATCGTCCATGTTGGAAAAACTGGCCAGGTTCATATCGTCTATCATCTTCTGCATCTTCTCAAACCGCGAAGCCAAAGACTCTGCTGTGTTTGGATCCTTCGCAGCTGCATCACAGGCTGCATCCAAGCTTTCAATTGCGCGATGCATTTGATCAGCCATAGACTCAAGCTGAGTGAACTTCTGCTGAAACTGGAAGACACTTTCTGAAAGTTTTTGTGTGTAGCCTTCAATCTTTTGATCATCCCACTTCAAATGAAGCCCATCAGCAATCAGTTCCTGCACACCTTGCTGGTAGGAGGCCATCAAAGGTTTGAAAGCTGCTGTGATCTGCGCACAGGTCTGCATGTATGTCCGCGCTGCCTCTTGCAGCGTCATTGCGAACGGATAGTTTTGCTTTGCTTCGTCAGAACTGACCTTCACTGCATACGGCACACGGCAGTCACCCAAGGATTGAAGGTTTCGCACCTCTTTGAACAGGGTAATAACCTGCTCATCAAAGTTCACCAAAAGCAAGAATGTCTGGTATCCTTGTTGAATGTCGAAGATTCGCATGCTCACATCGAACTTTCGAGACTCCTTGGTTTCAGACAGCCATTCATCAAAAATGTGGGTGGTCTTCATTTTCTTGGCAAAAGCATCGCCCTCCTGCTTCAGCGCATTTCCTTCCACATGTTTTTCCCAGCCTTTGCCCAGAACATCCTCCACGCGACCCATGTAGATATTCAGGCGCCGCTCCAGCTGCTTGGCCCATATGATTAAGCCAGCAGTGGCTGGGATGCCTCTGACGGCCGTGAGCTTGCAAGCCTCGCAGGCTCGCACAAACTCCCACAAAAAAGAAATAGAGCACCAAAAGATACAATGCCACAGGCAGCACACCATGAATTTGCCAACGATGACGATATTGTTCTAGTAGGATTTGTTCTATCGGGCACGCCTCAGACTAAACTTCAACCTGACCTGGCACGCCTACAGAAAGTGCTTTTGGCACTTCGCTAAACTAAACAGCAGCAGCGGGGAAGCATATGGGACCCCCTACACAGCAAAGAACCAGCCATAGCAAGATGCTAATCAGAGCAACCATTATCAGAATCAGTACTCAGGAAAGAGGCAGCAAGAGAAGTCCCCAACGGTACCTGGACAGCACTTCCAGCGCGTGACACAATGACACTGCATTGTCAACTTCCAGCTCCTGTCCCATGCTCCCCCACAAAACCTCCCGTCCCAAGACTCGGAGACCACCGACGGCACCGTCAGCCCTTGACAGCCGTACAACTAGGCGACAGGGTGGCCTGAAAGCATAGTAGGAGTGAGCATTATAACCAAAGGGCTCCAAACGAAAACGAGACTGAGGGATGAACCGTTTGTCGGTAACATGTATGGCAACATGTTTTTGGGGTAGCAATGTATCACAAAGGTTGGAACCAGCCACGCAAACGCACTTTCCACCGAAACGGACTCTGCACAGAGTCCGCATAGGTCCGCATGGCACAGCGACATCACGGACACACGGTCTGCCCACACACTAGAAGCAATCCTATCACACTATACCGCCAGTCCTCCCGCTCACCAGCGACACGCCACGTTTACACCAGCATGTTTCGCGCTCCCCAGTGGCACGGCGCCACGCACACACACACTTTCCACCAAGGCCGCGCAAATCCGCATGGCACTGCGACATCACGAACGTAATTTCGCCACACGGTCTGCCCACACACTACCGCCAATCATCCCGCTCACCAGCGACACGCCGCGTCTACACCAGCATGTTTCGCGCTCCCCAGTGGTACGGCGCCATGCAAACGCACTTCCCACCAAGGCCGCGCAAATCCGCACGGCGCAGCGACATCACGGACGTAATTTCGCGACACCGTGCGTCACAGACTAATAGCAAACGTATCACATAATACCACCAATCATCCCGCTCACCAGCGACACGCCGCGTTTACACCAGCATGTTTCCCGCTCCCCAGTGGCACGGCGCCACGCAAACGCATTTCCCGCCAAGGCCGCACAAATCCGCATGGTGCAGCGACATCACGGACGTAATTTCGCGACACCGTGTGTCGCGGACTTAAAAAAAATACATATCACATAATCATAATACTACCAATCATCCCGCTCACCAGCGACACGCCCCGTTTACACCAGCATGTTTCGCGCTCCCCAGTGGCACGGCGCCACGGAAACGCACTTCCCACCAAGAGCTCGAAAATCCGCATGGCACTGCAACATCACGAACGTAGTTCGCCACATGGTCTGCCACACACTAGAAGCAATCATATCAAACGATACCGCAATCATCCCACTGGCCAGCGACACGCCGCGTTTACACCAGCATGTTTCGCGCAATTGCGCTTCCCACCAAGACCTCGCAAATCCGCATGGCACTGCGACATCACGAACGTAATTTCGCCACACTGTCCGCCACACACTATATAGGAAGCAAACATATCACATGATACCACCAATCATCCCGCTCGCCAGCGACACGCAAACGCACGCAAATCCGCGCAGCGACATCACGGACGTAGTTTCGCCACACCGTCTGTCACAGACTAAAACAAAACACTTCTGTGTCCAGCTCCGCAACGCTGTTTCCCGTACTACCTACATGTGCACTACAAACTGGCCACTTCTGAGTCCAGCACTACATTTGCACTACAAACCGGTCACTTCTGAGTCCAGCTCCGAAAAGCTCTTTCGTGTACTACAATTTGCACTACAAACTGGCCAGGTCTGAGTCAAGCTCCACAAGTGAAGCGCCAAGTCTCCAAAATGAGCGTTTCGTACGAGACATCCTCCAAAAGTCACGCGTCAAAGTCGCCACAGCAAGCGTTTCGTATGAGACTTCCTCCAAAAGTGAAGCGCCAAGTCTCCAAAACGAACGCTTCGTACAAGACTTCCTCCAAAAGTGAAGCGCCAAGACTCCAAAACGAGCGTTTCGTACGAGACTTCCTCCAAAAGTGAAGCACCAAGTCTCCAAAAC